AATGAAGATGACTGAATGACGTACAGAGCGAAGTCGGCTACTAACCGGGAACGTGGACCGGACAGTACTTCATTGGCTAGGGCCTACCCAGCTTGGGCGGACGGTATTTGTCCAATGAAGTGCGAAGACTTCTTCCACCATCAGGAGGAAGTCCCAAGTACCCCGCTCATACGTCAATCCAACGGGGTATCTTGACAGGTAAACCGCCCCTCTCCGTGTTTATCTCGAGGAGTAACCGATCCAAGGGCGAGTCGATAGTCAAAGGAGGCCAGGAGGTGCCCAAGCAGATAGCCCTGTAAGACTGAGCTTCGTGCGGGCTCTACTCATTGACCTTTTAGGCACGTCTGGATCTGCGACTGAGGAGCCATCCTGTATAACTCACAGTGTCACGGAGGCACGAAAGCCATCACATCACATCAGGGTGCAGTCTCGTCGTGACGGGATGCATGCCGATTGGAGCAACATAACTTGCTAGTCTGTCAGGTGCGTTTTGTGTATCCTCTATACATTCGAACAGGCAAAGGGCATCATCAGCATATTCTAGATCGCACAGCTTTTCTCCAGTTGCCAATTTAATACCAACATTTTGGAGACCACTTAGTGCGTCCTGCAGTATGTCGTCTATGACTAAACTGAACAGGAATGGCGAACACCGCTACTAGTTACGAACAACCTACTCAGTTCACCGTAGGGCCTTACACTAGCAGAGGTACGCCAGCACAATAACCACAGTATGTTCACACAAGTCTGCGGTAATCCTTTGCGAAGGAGCGAACCCACAAAGGATTCGCAGTCACCTGAATCAAAGGTCAAGCAACACGACAACCGTTGGTCGGTGGTGTGTATGGCATAGCTCGAGGACTTGACACAGTGAAGATTTGGACGATATAACCCCGACCTGGCCGAAATCCTGCTTCAGGATGACAGAATGCGCTCGTGTGACCAGATGTTACGCATTATATCAGTGACGGAGTGTACGAGGTCATCACCTCCCATCTTGAAAATAGTGGGAGGAAGCCCGTCTGTGAAAATCTTGTCCACGTTTGTCGCAGATTGTTTCCCTAACTGTGGTTCGCCGACCTCCCGTGTTCTGCGTTAGTTGGAACATATATTTTACACCGACTTCTAGAAAAGCATGGTGCCAACGCCACAACACGAATAACAATAACAATAATAGGGGGTAGTTGGATTGGAATACATAGCAGTAGGAAGAAGGTAGGCCCGTTAAAGATAGAAAAAAATAGGCAACTGGGATTTGAAGATATTTCGTTTCACTGTACACTTTTTGATATTTTTTGTGTTGTTTCTTGTTTTTACGGGGCACCATCACTACGAGACTACACCTTGACGTGGTGCGATGGCTTGTGCACCTCTGTGACCCAACGAGCTACACAGGATGGCTTTA